TCCTACATCTCTCTCCTCTCCTTCTGGTATTCCTATAACTCTTATATTTCCTTTCCTCATGGAGTCAGATAGTTCCCAAAGTCTTTCTTCGGTCTTTTTCCTTCGTACTTCTCTTTCCTTTTCTGTTTTGGTTCTTTTTATTTCTGTGTCTTCAAGAGAACTTATTCGTTCTTCCATTTCATCTATTCTGCTTTCATTGCTTTTCCCAGAGTTATTTAGTTCCTCCATTAATTTTTTGATCTCCTGCATTTCTTTTGCTTCCCTCTTTAGGAACTGATTTTCATTCTTCTGATCATTGTTTTCCTTTATGAGTTCTGTCATTTTTTTAATCATGGCAATTTTAAATTCTCTTTCTGGAAGGCTCAGAAGTTCTTCCAAGTTATTGTCGTTGCAATTTGAGGGGTGGTTTTCTTTTTGTGGTGTGCTTTTTTCCTGAGGAGTTGTTAGGTTGCATGTGGTTCTTCTACTCCCTACTGTCTGTTTTCTAATTTGTCGTATTCATTGGGACACTGTGTTGCTGGGACTGGCTGGCATCTTGGGTGAACTTCTCCACTCCCCTCTGGCTCCTCTGGGAGCCATCTGTCAGTTTCAAGCAGTATATACTGAAGAAAGGTCCCTGTTCTAAAATGCAGATGTGGGCACACACCCCCCTGTGTGCCTGGTCTGCCCCAGTGGTGGGTTCCCGCTCCCCCTCTGGGCTTGGACTGCAGGCTAGAAGGGCCCTGGCGTGGGCGAAATTCCCCGCTCACCTCTGGCTCCTGAGGGAGCCTTCTGCTGGTTTCAGGCAGTCTTTACTGAAGAAATTTCCCTGTTCTAAAATGGTGATGCCGGATGCACTCCCTGCTTGTCTGGTTTCGGGCACACTCTTCTGCGCACCTGGTCTGCCCCAGCCGTGGGTGCCCACTCCCCCTGTGGGCTCAGACTGCTGGTTGGAAGGGGCCCGGCGTGGGCTAACTTCCCATCTCGACACTGGCTCCTCTGGGAGCCTTCTGCTGCTTTCAAGCAGTCTTTTCTGAAGAAAGGTCCCTGTTCTATGGGGTGTTAGTGACTTTTTTTCTGGTCGCTAGGTGGTGCCAGAGATCTCTCCTAGTGTCCTTGGGGAGCTGTTTTTTTCACCCCGCGGAACAGGGAACAGAGTGGGAATGGTAGGGAAAACCTCAACGGCTTTGGGGTGCTGTGTCTGCCTTGTGCCCCACCGTCATGGAGAGCCCATGCCCCAAATTTCGTGCCCCGGGTCTCAGTTCCAAAGCCCTCAGGTCCAGGACGTGGGCTGTAGCCCAGTTCAGTGACCGCAGAAATGGTGCCTTTTGCACCCCGCTCCCGCGTCTGGGCGCCTGGTTTCTGATTACTCAGTGAGGGACTTTCACCTCAGTGAGGGCCCCCTCGCGTCTCCCTGCAAGCCTAGGTCGCAGGCACGGGGACCTGGGCAGCCGCGATCCGCGTTTGCTTTTCAAGTGCTCTGCTTTTCTGTGCAAGCTTACCGGCTGGCCCGGGGTTGTGTGCAGGTCTCTGGGAGTCTCTGTTGTTCTCTAATGGTGCCTGGAGCTGTTCGCTCACCTCCTCAGTGAATCTTGCAGGGTTCTCCATAGCTCCAGTTCACGGGGTGTGGTGGCTGAAATAGTTCCTTTCCACTCACAGTCCCGCTTGATGCGTAGTTTGTTCTTGTTGGTCATTTTAGTTTTTTTTTTTCCTCCTTTCTGTTGGTCGGAGAGTGCCAACTTTGTGGGTGGGGGAGGATAGCAGGGTTCTGCGCTTTCCTCCCTTCTAGTCTTCTTTTATGGCAACTTTCTTCTTCAGGTAGTTTGCTGGATTTGTCCGTTTATCTTCCATGTCCCAGTTCTCACTGGGACCTGCTGCTTTTCCTCCCTATTAACTTTTTTTTAATGGGAGATCTTACCCACAGCGTTTCCTCGCCACCATGTTGATTCTCCTCCTCATTGAATTTCTCTCTCTTTTTTTTTGTTTTTCATTCTTGTTTTGCTGTAGTTCTCCCTCAAGAAACTTTGTCTCTGATATTGCTGGTTTTCTCCAGTCTGGTGAGCCTCAAGTTTCAATGACGAGCCACATTGTGTTTCCTAAGAGCCTAGTGTGGGTGTTGTGAGCTGCCGGAAGACTGAGTGGGAGCTTTGTGCACAAGATTGCACCTTGGCCTTTACCTTTGTCTTTTCACTTGAATTAGCAGGTAGCTGACTTTCAGATCAAGGGACCTCAAAGAGAGTGGCAGGTATTTCAACTGGGGCACCAATACCCCAAGTGCAGTACTCTTTCCTCAAAGAGTTTATTAAATTCCATTTTGACTATAGGTTAAATACCTGGCTGCACAATGGTTTGTGTTCTTGGGAATTGGTCCCTCTTCCTTTGAATTCCTTTCTAAGTACATTATGGCCCACATGCTGTACTCTTCTGCTTGATCTGTCAACTTCCTTTCATTTTCTTTCCAGAAATTTATTGTACACCTCTTTCTGAGTTTCCACATTTCTATGGATTTATTACTTTTTCTTTTAAAAAAAGTTTATATTGTCATTTTTAAGAGATCTCAGAGTGCGATCTCTAGGCAAACCATAGCCTCACTAGGAATTTTTGATGAATTAACTTTCAGAAGTTTAAGTAGACAGTGCAAATAAAAGTAGATAGAAAACATCTGTTCCAGGAAACCTTAATAGAGAGCACCTGTCTTATCAGAGGGACATAAAGAAGTTATGAAAAAAGAGAAGAAAAAAAACATAATATGGACATAATATGAAAAATAGTAAGGAAGAGTAAGATTCTGAATAAGAAAAAAATGCACAATGTGGGAAAGGAGGGTCATAAAGTCCCTGCAGACTCCCGAAGAGACTGAGAAGATGTGAATTGGCTTGGATCTAAGATATCAGCCTCTCAGCTATGTATGAGCCTCATCTCTGGACTAGGGGTACCTCTAAGGATCACACCCTTTAAAAGGAGACCACTCAGTCTGGTATTTAAGTTCCTCTATATAATGGTCCCGTATTACCTATTACCAACTCTTCCCCCCATCCCAATACCATTGTCTCTAGTTGTACTAAAATTTTTACTGATGCTCATATAATTTATATTTCCCACCACCCTATACCCCTTTGATCACCCTATCCCCCTACCTGGAGGACTCCAAGACCATCTCTACTTATAAAAGTCTATTCAGTGAACTGGGGAGGAGAGGTTGGGAGTAGGGAAGGACAGATTGACCTAAACAAACACAACTGCAATAGACCAGGTGTTTTTGATGCTTTGCTTTCTTTTGTAAAATGTAATCCTTGAAAGAAAGCAGACACCACCTGTAATTCTATGTAGCCAGGATTTAATCTCCACCACTGCAAGTAGCACATGTTAGAAATGCTTCCAGGAATGCAGAGAAGTAGATATGCCTATAATCTAGAAGTTCCTCAAGGGGGAGCACTTGCTCTCCTGTGAAATAATCCAGTGGACTCTCTTGAAGAAGTAATGACTTTCCAGTTTTCTCTTCTGTAAAGTCTACCCTGGGGGCTTTGGGGAACAAATGACATGCAGAATATAAAACCACTTGAGAATGCTAAATTGATAATCGTGTGATTTCTAAAGATATTACTGTATGGGGGGGAAAAAATCTTTCCATGTCCTTGTATCCTAGACCCTCTTTTGTGGCACTTGTCACATCCTGCTCCTGGGCATAGTGATTTGTGTGCAGGTACTTCTGTCAACAACATTTATACACCCTAAAAATGGTACCTTAAGCAAAATTGCACAGTCAAGATAACAGACTTATGGAAAAATTGGATTGGGGCAGACCACTCTCAAATTACAGAAGTATCTAAAACCCTAAAAATTTAACAATGTCTTTTAACCCCAATGAAACTGCTAGCACAGTTCAATCACTAAAGCATTAACACCTTGCCTCATGTGCACCAAAACTTTGCAGCCTTAAATCTGGAGGGTCTGTGCTTTCTTTCTCAAGAGGTAGGTAGGTCATGGATATATTCACTTCTAATAAAGACTATTTTAATCACAATCAAAGATATCATGTAGATAGGACCCTCTTCATTAATACACTGGTTTAACACATGAGGAAATATCTTCACCTGTCCTTGAGTCTCCCCGTAAACAGTATAGATCACCATGGTTCCAATGGCCATGAAACTAGTTATATTTATATTAAAGTTTTAGATTTATTTCCTGAGGTCTATATCTATTGCTAAGTAGATTTGCTTTCTATTGTTACATAGAAAATTATGTCAAAACTAAAGATTTAAAACAACTCAATTTATTATTTTACAGTTTGGTGTCATAGGTCCAAAATGGATCATTGGACTAAAAAGCTTATTGTTGATGGATCACTTCTCACGCTAGAGGAGAAGTTCCCACATTCCCTGGATCATGGTCCCTTTCTTTGTCTTTAATGTGAGCAATGGCTAGTTGAGATTTTCTCCCATGGTGTCACTCTGACACTCTCCAACCTCCCTCTTTCACTTATAAAGACTTTTGAGAATATGTTGGACCACATGGATAATGTCCCCAGGAACCACTCCTCATCTCAAGGTCAGCAGATTAGCAATTTTAATTCCATCTGTGACCTTGCCATGTAACATAGCATATTCACAGATTCTAGGGATTAAGATGTGGATATCTTTGGTGGAGGACATTATTCTGCCCACCAGCCTAAGATTTTTACCTGTAAGAATGTATACCCTGGTCACATAAAAATATTTACAAGCTCAGAAAAAAATGCACATCAACCAACATGGCTGCCATATCATACCATTGTCATTCCTCTGTAATTGTATATGAAATGATTATGTATTGTAGGGCTCTGTATTTCTTTGGTATCCTTACCACGTATTCTACATCGTGGGCCCAATAAGGAACAATTGAAATGAATTGGGTCATTACAAAATAGATAAATATTTGTACATCTAAAGCAACCCTTTGGGGTAAGAACAAAATGTAACCCACCATCTCAGAACAGAAATAAGAGACAAAGAAATCTCAAGAGGGAAAATCTCATGTACCTTGAGCACAAAGTTGTCTTCAGCTTGGAGCTTCAGATCCACTACTGCCTTCCTAACCAAGGCTTCAAAGTTGAGGTCTCGCCTTCTAGGGACATCCAGGGCTGGAAAGAGGTCCCCAATCAAGCCCATGAACACTGGCATGTCATCAGTCACAATCTTGGGAATGTTGAAATCTCGCAAGGAGCGCATAAGAACTTGGTCCTCAGGCCGATCAGGGTCTCCTCGCTTCAGGGATCCTGCCACAACTAGTACAGACTTGATGGCCCGCAGTCCCCAGTCATAGTGATCCTGTGAGAAGGCAGTGTGGGTTAGACCAGAGTTTCTGGGATGTGGGATACAATATACTTTGGCTAGTGTCTGCAAAATTACAGATATGATATCAGTATTAGGCACTTCCAAGGCCAAGACATAGGAAGGGATTAGTGACATGGAACATCATGATTATGGAATCCTAGTTTCTGACATTAGTTACTTTTCTAGCTGTAATGACAACAAAGCAGACAGAGAACAAACAGGAGTTGGGGGTCAGGGAGACTAAACTGAACCATTTCCATTTCTGGCTATAATTGTTACATTAAGAGGTAGAAAGGCTACCAAGGAGAGAGACATTTTTACTCTTAGTGATAGTCAGGCTGGGTAACATGCCTTGGAGGCCTTCAAATTATCTGAGAAAAAGAAATTTAAAAAAAGTTCCTGAGCCTCCCCTGGTGGCACAGTGGTTTGAGCACTGGGCTGTGAAGCTGCCCGCAGCCTCTGCAGCGCTGGTTCGATCCCCGGCCACCGCTGGCAAGGGTCCCACATGGTACACAGACCTCTCCTGCCGCACCTGCTGCTCCCCTCAGCAGTGTATTTCATCAGTCTGCCTGTTCTGTTCCCTGCTCTGGCCCTGGTGAATTCTCTCACCCTCCCGCGCTTCTGACTGTACTCAGTGTTTGTACGAATAAATAAATATTTTCTTTAAAAAAAGTTCCTTGGGCCTCCCCGGTGGCGCAGTGGTTGAACGCTGGGTTGTGAAACTGCCCGCAGCCTCTGCAGCACCAGTTCGATCCCCGGCTGCTCCCCGGCCACCAGAGGAGGGTCCCACATGGCGCATAGACCTCTCCTGCCGCGCCCACTACTCCCCTCAGCAGTGTACTTCGGTCCTTCTGCCTGCTCTGCTCCCCACTCTCGCTCTGGCGAATTCTCTCACCCTCCCGTGCTTCTCACTGTACCCAGTGCTTGTATAAATAATAAATAAATCTTTTAAAAAAATAAAATAAAAAAATCTCCTTAAAAATGTCATCAAAGGAAAATTGGTCACAAGTTCTGAGAACAGAGTCCATAGGAGAGTGGACCATACTGTTGACCCCAGGTCTCAGAGCACCATAGTGGGGGAAGTGGTGGGGTGTGTGGTTCAGCACAACAAAACCTTAACTCAGAACTAGGTTCAAGTCCATTTTCAGTCTCTTATTTCTTAGCTGATCATTATTTAATTAGAGCTGTGATATATACTACAAAATAACAATTTATTGTGTAATGAAACAATGAACATAGTGGCTATAACTGAAATTTACTGTCTTTCCATGAACCTGTGGCTGCCCTGTTCCTTCTGGTCTTCACTGCACTTCTTTCTCTTCTGTGTTTGACTGAATTCTACACCCTCAGGTTTTCTTTAACATGTTTCTCCAAGGAAGTCTGATCCTTAGCCTACCTACAGCCACCATTCCTTCATCTTCACTGTATTAAACTCAAAGAGGACAAGTGTAGGTACTGTACAGCACAATAGGGAGAGGGCTGTGAACTGAAGCTACGGAAATAGGCAGGAGACAGAGTCCTACACAGTTTATGTGAGAGTGATAAGGGTATTGGTCTTTATACTAAGACCAGTGAGGAGCATATTTAAAAGATCACTCACCTGGTGGTTAAAGAACAAATTTGAGGAAGTAGAATAGAAGTGGAGAAACTAGCAGAGAGGCAATTCCAATAGTTTAAGCAAGAAATATGGGTGTTTGAAATTGAAGTGTTAGTAGTGAGCATGGGAACAAAATAAGATGCACTTGAGAAATATCCAGAGGGTAGAATGAACAATAGTTCATTCATGATGGGTGTAGGGCTGAGGAAGAAGACAAGTGTCAGGGATGACTTTCAGGGTTCCAGAATAAGCAAGTATGTAAATGATGGTCCAGTGTACCAAGGTAAAGAATGCAGGAGAAGTAGGTTTGGAGAGGCACTGGCAGGAAGAATAGTTCTAAATGCTGAGATGGAGGTGCTTCTTAGTCACTCAGTTGTTTCTTAGTCACTCAAGTGGATCTGCGATATAAAGCACTGAATATATACGTTTAAACATCAAAAGAAAGGTTTGAGATAGAGTTAAGAGAGTAAGTCGCTGCAGAGTTCCTCATAGGACACCAGTGATCAGGTATTGCTAAGTATTCTGTAAGGGACAGTTCTGTGATCAAGCCATCCTGAAAAATGCAATGTAAAATATGAACACAAATCTCTATTGTAAAAGTGAACAGATCTTCTCATGTTTATGTGCACAGTGACTCAGTGACTCTCTAACAGAGCACTCTAATATGCTCCCCTACAGCCCATTCATAGCTAGGACAATCACATAATTGGTTGTCCAGATTAGAAAGGTAGCATACCTGTTTGGAGAGAAGCTCTTTGCATAACTGGTAAAGAGTGATGAATTTTCGGGCTAATACCCGGGCTTCAATGAATCCTTCAGCCACCAGCATGATTTCACAGATCAATTCAAAGTCTGGAACAACCATCGCACAAGGCCTGTGCACAGGGGGACAAAGGGCCATGACCCAAGCACAAAGCCAAAGGGGAGCTCATAAGATAAGAAACAATGGCTCAGATCACAGACAGAGGCATTTGTGAATATAAAAACTTAGATCTTAGCAATGATTTTATCTAATACTTTCTATTTAAATATAACTTAAGGATAAAGGAAGTGAACTCTCTTGTTCATGGTGATAGATGGTGAAGGATGATAGAATGAGGGGCAGAATTGGGGCTACAGCTCAAATCCTGTAACTTGAGTCCAGTGTGTCTTAAACAAGGCACAGATTTTTAGTAAAGCAAGTTGTCAAGAATAAATTAGGAACAAAGATTGAGAGACTGAGTCCCTCAATGTCCATAAGAAATTAGGAACTTATTCCTCATCTTCAAGATGGACACCCCCTCCAAGCACTTAGGGCTTATTCTGTACTTACTTGCATGCACATATAAATATTTGATATCTAAAGCATACATTTATTAACCCTACTTGTCACAAATGTCATATACTATAATATAGAAGTGGATTTTTGTCTCTATGTAAGGATGTATACACGTACTATGAATACACATACACACATATGAAATGATGTTTTTCCTCTGTCTCTAGAAATATTTGATTTTTAAATTATTTTTATTAACTTATTAGTTAATAAGATTTATAGTTTTTATTTAAATTTTAAAATTTCATTTTAAGGAGTCTAAGAGGTATTTTTTATTAATTTTTCCAACAGCTTTTCAAACAGATTTGATTTTCAAGTGCAGTTTTCCTTGAAATTATTTCACATTACTTTTAAATTCAAAGAAGCAACCAAACACTTAGATTCTCAAGTGTATTTTTGAATCTGAAGTGAGTAAGGTTAAATATGCTTCCATACAATGGAATGCAATATGGCCATGAAAAACCATTAGTATTTTACACTTGTACAATGTAAATGTTGACATTTATATTTGTTGTTTAAAAATATTTTTCTGTTTCCCCACCAAATTATCTTCTATGCTATTAAATTTGGGGGGATGGGATGTGAGGAATGATTCTTTATTATGGTGATAACCCACCTCTATTATTATTTGTAACTAAGTCTTATTTAATAAAATCATTGTATAATAAATAGAAAATAACACAGTATTCTGTGGCACCCATTTAGACTGCTTGTTCAAATTCCAACAATCTGAGGACAGTTTAAAAGTGAGGGACTTAAGTATACAAGGAACTATCCAGTGTCCTCTTAAGTCTCCGCATCCCCAAGCAGAGAGCACTGGGTCTCTCTGTCCAGAGATGAGACTAATAGCTTTGTCATAACTCCCACAGACTCTCTCTTAGGTAACAGTTTGTGGGTGGAAAACCAGAAGTCATCAAGTATCTTTCAGGTTTCTCTTCATTGGGCTGATTTCTCATTTGTAAAAAAACAACAAGAACAACAACAAAAAAACAACCTAGAGACCCTAGGCCCTGCAAGAAAATGTATTTCTGTTTTCTTATCACAATAAACAAGATTTTAAAAACATAACAACATCCACTAGTGGCAAAGATAAAATAAAAGAGGTACTCTCAAGTATTGCTACTAGGAGTGTAATTCAACACTACTTTTTTAAAAAAGTAATCTGGTTATGTGTATCAAGAGTCTTAAAATGTTTCTCCTCATTCATTCAATGATTCCACTTCTGGGAATCTAGCCAAAGAAAGTAATCATGAATATAGGAAAAAAATACTTACATATAAGATGCATGGATTTATTTTATTTATTTTTTTTATAGAGGCATGTTTATTTATTTTATGTATTTATTTATTTGCTTGTTTTGTTTATACATGCACTGGGTACAGTCAGAAGCTCGGGAGGGTGAGAGAATTCACCAGAGCCAGAGCGGGGAGCAGAGCAGGCAGAAGGACCGAAGGACACTGCTGAGGGGAGCAGCGGGCGGCAGGAGAGGTCTGCACGCCATGTGGGACCCTCCTCTGGTGGCCGGGGAGCATCCGTGGATCGAACCGGTGCCGCAGAGGCTGCGGGCAGGTTCGCAAACCAGCGCTCAACCGCTGCGCCACCGGGGAGGCCATGAATTTATTTTAAATGTTTGAAACAGTCTTAATATTTAACTATGGGGTGCTAGTTAATTACATTGTGAACCATGTATTTGATAGAATAAAATGCTGTCATGGAGCAAAATTTGTTAAGTATATCTAATAGGAAATTACTGATGTATGATTATGATAGATTGTGAAATGAAAAACAAAATTATATAAAAATGTATATAGAACACAAGCAGGGATTACAAATGTATGAATTTAAAATGTACCCTAAAAGAACAGAACATAAGCAAAAAAGCAAAATAAGATTTTACTGGTGATGGCATTAACAGTGATTAGAAAAACCTATCTTTTCAAATTTCCTCTAATATACTTATACCAAACAGTTTTAGTGGGAAAAATAGACTTCTGTTTTGAGGCCTCGAGGAGGGCAGAGCTAACGCTCACCTGAAGAGAGCTTTGAGGTTTTCGGGTAGTTCGGTGCGGCCAGCATAGCCCGGGTTCATGGTGATGAAGATACCCACAGAAGGATTCAGGCTAATCTCTTCCCCAAGGAAGTTGAACCGCTGCTTCTTATCTCGAATTGCATCTTGAATGCTTTTTACCTGGTAAAGAAGTCAACAGAAAATACCTCCACTGCATTTCAGTGTTGGGATAGTTGCTAAAGCAAGGAGTATCTGGTTACACACATCTCGAGAACCTATATTGTGGCCCCTTTCACTGAAGGACTGTGCACTAGGGTGCACAGTCACTGCACCCTAGACCCTTTACTGATGCACATAGGGTGCATGTCAATGGAAATATGGCTGCCCATATTCCTATATATACATATATCAAGAGTTAGAGGAGTTTGCCCAAAGTTACACATCTACTAAGTGATGGTGTCTGGATTTGAATGCAGACAAATTAATTCTGAAGCCTGGGCTATCGACCATTGAGTTTGTTCTAAGAATAAAGGAAATAAGGTCATATAGAAAATGCTCAGTGTAGCAGCTAACATGGAAATTGCATGTGACTATCATCATTGTAACTGTGGTCTCTTGTTTTAACCTCTTGCAGCCACTCCCCAGATTATATCTCAACAACAAACTTCAAGAGCACAGGCAACCTTTTGGGATGGTGTGCCTGTGTATAATGAAAAGAGCCACAATCACCATGACAGGCTAGAGCCAGTTTCCCAGGACTACTAGGGCCTTCCTAAAGAGAGTAGACTTTATTAAAATAATGAGGTCTGGAGCCAGGGGGAGTTTAAGCTGAAACTTGACCTGTTCAGATGTAAGATCTAGATCACTCATATCAGTGAGGAGAAACAGAAATGAATTGCACCCGTTTTTTCCCCACACTTGGTACTTTGGGAAACATGAAAAATTATCAGCAACAGGAGGAAGGAATACGAAAGGTATACACTTGTTCAATCAGGCCCCAGGAGAGCTCTGAGTATTACCAGGCTCTTAGGGATCTGGAAAGCAAAACCTGAATGTTATGGTCAGGGTGCTTAGAAAAGCCAAGAGTTCTGTGAAAACGAGGCTGCAAGGGAGAGAGTTTGTGTGTGTGTGTGTGTGTGTGTGTGTGTGTGTGTGAAGGAGAGAGAGAGAGAGAGAAAGGGAAAGAGAGAGAGAATGATAGATTTGGACCATAAACAGAGAGAGACAGAGAAAGGAGGAAGAGACAGAAGAGAGGCAGCTGGACCATCAACCCTTAAGCAAGCTCTCTCCAGTGCCTGCTAGGGCTCTGTTTGCCAGGACACATAATGGTCCTACAATTAGGATTCAGTTCCTTTCCTAAAGTGAAACACTAATGACTGAATGCATTTTGGCTCTCAGCAATTAGTTTGAGACTGAAACTTCTTTTCTATGTGCAGAATATCAATGCCCTTCTTGCAAAGGCCATCTTTAGCACCTGCTTTGCCAGTCAACAGATCCAGCTCTGCTGATTCTTGTGGTAGTGAGGAACCTGTTGCCATGCTCAACACTGCAAGTTCTGTGAATGCCAAATGCTGTGTCTCTCCTTCAGTCCCAGTCCTCCCATCTGAAGATATACTGAGCACTCGCCTTGTTATGGAGTGGGAAAATAAGTTTAATTACCATTTCCAAATTGCTCTGAAACCTTTGGGTCCAGGTGAAGGTAAGAGCCCAGGTCCTGCCTGTTGTTCACTCTGACTCAGCAATCCCTCCTACAAGACTGAGGCCCACAAACCTCATGCTCAGGAGAATTTACAGTGCACTGTGGGATTGGTAACATCTGTGCTTTTGTGTAAAATTCTGTAGGGGGTGCCTCAAGGGAGTGTGTAATGCAGTTAACATTGGAGCATCAGAGCTAATAGGCTCTGTTAGAACAGGAGACTCTGCCTGGCATTTCTTTACTACAAAAAGTCACTGGAATATGATTGTGAACAGGTCAGAATATAATTTTGCCCTGATAAAGTTCAGGCCTGGGCAAAGTTCAGAAATCCTTCAGTATACCAGGGACAGAAGTGGTCTGGGATCATATGAATTGACATGGTAGCCCAGGAGGAGGTGTATACACAAGTAGGCACAGGATGATATCCACAGGGCCAGGTACACTCCTCACTCAATATGGGTCTGTTATGCCTCTAAAGTCCCATCACTTTGGAAGAAAATAAAAACAAAGTAATAACCGACATTTATAGAGCACTTGAGATGTACCAGGTCCTATTTGGAGTATTTTACATGCTTTTCCCATTCAGTTCTCTTAGCAGATATATGAAATGGGTAGATTTTACCACATAAAAAGACAAAAGAAAAACAACAGAAACTGCTAGTGTTATGTAAGATGTTAAAATTAAGGGAGGCTAGTAGAGGGATATTTGGAAACTATATTATTCTTGCAACTTTTTCTATAAGCTTAAAATTAGTTCAAATTAAAAAGCTGAAAGAAATAAAACCTTGCCCGATGTCTGACAGTTGGTAAGTGGGACAACCAAGTTAAAAGTAAGGCAATCTGGAGCCAAAATACATACATTTACCCACATTGCTTTTGATCAGAATGAACATTGTGCCAGCTATGAACAGTGTCTCATCAAATATATACAGATTTGGAGTCATTTGTTTTGCTCTGAAAATTATCATGTTTGATATAATTTAGAGACATAAGTTTTTATAAAATAAGAAAAGGTGCTTTTCTCACCCATTCAGGAAAATAAACAAAAATGGAAAACTGTGTAGAAACCAGAGGATGATTTGCACCCACCCTTCTTAAGGGGATACTTGGAAATATCTGGAGACAACTCCAGGAGAAGGTGCTGCTCACATTGGTTGGGTAGAGGCCAGGGATGCTGCCAGACATCTTACAAGGCATAGGACAGATTTTGCCATGAAGGATTATCAGGCCCAATATATTAGTGCTGAAGTTGAAAAAATTTGGACCAAGTAGTTTACCAAAGAGGAAACTGAGGCCAAGAAGATATGTTACTCATCTACCATACCACAGCTTATGTCCCTGGGTCCCAGCAAATTCCCATACAAATTCTTAGCCTCACCCCAAAGGGGTGGTATAACAAATCCTCCAGATAATTCTGATGCAGTTTAAAGATCAAGAACCACTTTAGACCAGTCAATTGTTGAATTTGTAGTTATACCTGCTTCTGCCCCCAGGTCTCCCCACGCCCCTCGATGAACCTGAGTTCTCCACTCCCTTCTGCACACCTGCCATGGAGAGGACTTGTTACTTCCATCCCGGACCAGCTTGGCTGGATCTTGTACCTCTGATGTGAACCTAAACTCCACACTCCTCCAGGATGTTTTTCTTATTTGTCATTTTTCCTCTCAGCAGTGATTCTCAAAGTTTACTTACTGAACATGAGTCATGAGGAAGTGTGCTTTTTTTAATAAAAAAACCTTTTTTTCCCCACCTTAAACTGGACGTCCACGTCCTGCCACAGACCAACGAAATCAGAATCTTGGGGTGGGAGGGAAGGGAAGTGATTATCTCTCCATTTGTGCATTACTGTTTTCCAGAACTGTCCAGGCAATTCTAATGTGCATCCAGGGTTGAGATTACTGTGCCAAAGCAGCATGTCTCCAACTTTATTGTGTGTATGTATCACTGGGGACTATGTGAAAAAGCAGAGGCTGTTTCAGCAGGTCTGCAGTGAGTCTGAGAGCACTTCTCAAACATTCCCTGTGGATGTTGATGTTGCTGGTCTACAACCTAAGTAACATAGGGCTTAGCACTCCTGACTGTCCACTCTCAGGACACCTGGTGCTCCTTTCAGTATCCTTGTCACTGACCTACACTGCCCCACACCAATTTCATGACCCACCACTGCCCCTCATCCAGAGGGTTTCCCTTTCCAGTCTTGATGGTCTTCAGTCGCACTTCACTAGTGGAATTTATTTTATGACTTAGATTTTAGATACAAGGATAAGTTTAACTTCTCGATATTGCAGGCCAGCCCTGATTTCCAATGATCAATCCTGTTATCTGCACAAGCCATGAATCCTTGTCTGGCCGGGGATTTGATTTGCTATTTTAAGAATGTTATCTTTTCTTTCAAAGACTGGGAGTTGGTGACACAAAAGGTTCTGCCCCCACATCCTTCCATCCCAGCTCTGGCCTCACATAAAACATATAGAGCAGTAAAGTCATACTATTTCCCTGCTGGTAATATATTTTAAGGAGGTCATCAGCTAGCTCTGTGTGAAGTAAATTCTCCACCCACACCCCTCTATCTTGCCCACCTTCATTCTAGGAAGAGATACACTGTGGTCAGTCAAGAGAATGACCAGCCTTTGTTCCCAATGCCAGGTGTTATTCAAGGTCTACCAGGCTCACTCCCTGCTTCACTCTGCTGACTTCAGGAAGTACAACCCACTCCACACCTTTTACATATTTTTATTTTTCTGTGGTTTTTACCTTAGACTTGAAGTCCTTAAGTTACATGGGAAGCGCCCTTGGATCTGAGATTCTGGCATTTGTTCAGTTCCTGGAGTACTTAAAACATTGCTATGGTGGACTTGCTCCTGTCTTTGCTAACTTCTGCTCCTAGCTGCCCTCTTCCCCTATGTAGCACACTCTTGGGGCATCTGTTGAAAAGGAGGGAAGTAGCAGGGACACCTGGCCAGAGAATATGGAGGGGGATAAAGGATAGGAGGTATAGGGTAGTGGAGTGTGCCCTAGAGGAACACATTCCTGGGTTCAGAGAGCCAAGGGCTAATGAGCTGACTGCAGCAGTAATGGCAAAATTCTGGGGAAAAAAGAGCACATATCTTAAACATTTTAAAAATAGCATAGTAATTGCTTTTGGAATTGCCACCCTTTATGCCAATTGGATAAGCAATTCTGCTTGACCAATATGACAGAGACATGAAAATTTCCCCCTACAAGGACACTGAAGCAAATTCACTCTGTAGAAGTTACTGGGTAAAGCACAGACGGGCAAGGAGGGGAGAAGAGGAAAGGCAGAGGAAGAGAGGGGAGGGTGAGAGAGAAGAACTGTCGCAGCTGGTGCAGCTTCTGAACCAATATGCCAGGCTGGATTACCATGTGAATAATTAAGCACAATTTTCTCCCTGGATGGGTATATGATTTAAAATGGTACCAACTCAGATTTTACCCAAGCTGTTGTCAGACCACTTGCTTGAGA